GAATGGATGGACAGATGGGGGGTGGATGGATGGATGGGGGGATGGATGGATGGATGGACGGGGGGATGGATGGATGGGTGGATGGATGGAGGGATGGAGGGATGGAAGGATGGAAGAATGGATGGAAGAATAGATGGAGGGATGGACAGATGTGTAACACCACAGCTGCAAGACCTTACAAAAGTGACAGCGGATTTTATTTTAAAGCAGATTTCACTCGCTTGGAGTCCCAGAACAAGGTGCCCATCCAGCACCAAACAGAGCCACCCTTCCTCAAGGGACAATCTTTTCCATTGTAAGAGCAAAGCTCTTCGATGCATCCTGACATCCCTGCTGATGTTTGCTTTCCTGCTCTGCTGGCCTGCAGCAGGCACATTTTTTATTTTCTGGGGCTGAAGGTGGTGAAATGCAAAGAGCTGCCCACACCTTGGCCACAGCAGGTCGTGTAGCAGCCGATGCACCTTTGGACCTGCAGGACGTCCCCTGGCTTCAGTAGCAAACCAGAAGGATTTGGGGGCTTTGAGATGGATGCAATGTTTCTCTGACCCAGGACGAGAGCCATGCCACGTGCTCAGGGCTCCCTTAAACACGGGATGGAGCTGAAAGGATCCCTTCATCAGCACTGGAAAGTTCCCTTGGTGGAAACTGGCCATGGGCAGGGAAGGCGTCGGAGAGGCTGTGTGTGTCCCCCTGGCTCTGCAGGATGCTTGGAAACGTTGGATTGGTGACAGCAGCTGCTTCTGCCTTTGGGAAACGCAGCCCTAATTCTCACCATAGTGCAAACAGGGCTGCCAGGAGCGTGCTGCAGTTGTGGAAATCCAAAGGTTGGAAAGCAACCCAGTGAGCACTGAGTCCATTCTGCTTCCATGCTTCCAGCCCTCTCCAAAAGCTTCGCCTCCTCCCTGAGCTCCTCCAACCGAAAAATAACCCCAGATACTTTCTGCAATGTATTCTGAGTACATTAATTACAGGAAAGAGAAATGCCTGTGCTTCCAGTTACTGCGTGGTGGTGAAAAATGACTGAGTGTAAAACATGTCTGCTAGATAATTAACTTCATAGATAATTTCTTCTTCATTTTGACTCAATTACTTCCTTGATATGAGAAAGTGCTGAAAACACTATTATTTCTTTCTTTTTTTTTTTTTTTTCTTTTTTTTTTCCTGGATGTTGCATGAAACAATAATTGAAGAAAGCTGGTGGAGCTTTTGCAGAGAGAGCCCTTTCCTTAGATAAAGGAGCAGGGAAATGTTTGCCTTTAGCTGTGGCTCTGGGGTCAGAGTGCAGCTTGGCACCGCTGAGTGGTGAGAGCTGCTCTGTGCTTTGCTGCATGGGAGGGCTTGGAGGCTTTGCATCGTGCTGTGCAATGCATTGTGCTGGCCCTGCTGCTTGCATCTTGTGGCTCCAGCAACGCCAAGCACTTCTCCAAGGTTTGTGCCCAAGTCACAGCAAACCATCTGATTGTAACAGATTAATCCATTAGGATTAATCTTCTGTTAATTGGGTGGAAGCCTCCACGTCGCAGCTGTGCCTGCATCTGACCAGCTAGAAGGCAATTTAAATACAGCAAGCAATTTAACCTAGTTGGAGACCAAAACATCTTGCTCAACGCTGCACAGCAGCCTCACAGCCCTTTGCTCCCAGTTGTCAGCTCTGCAGCCAACGGGTGACACTTGGGTACGGGGCAGGGCAGAGGGGATGGAGTGCTCGTGCCCTGCTGGGTCGTTCCTTCCTCCCTGGGGCTCTCACCTCTGCTCTGCTGCTTG